AAATGGAGTACCCAGAAGTAGCAAGACGACTTAGTAAAAAAATCGATATTAGCTATTATCTGAATAGTGTTGTCGGCCTCTGTGCACGATTTATTAACTATGATGAAAGTTTCCAACCATCATATGAAATTGTACTGGGGGCCTTAAAAAAGTTAAAAGATGGTAATAAAGCCCGGGGTAGTGACAATAAAGTGGATGACAGTGTGGTGGATGAAGATGACCTGGACGAAGATGAAGAGGATGGACACGAAATAGATGAAGATGAGGTATCAAAAATAAGAGATACCTTAGCGCAGAAATCAGCTGAAAAGTGGATTAGAGGGTATATCAAAGAGCTACATACTGGTCCGAAAAAAGATAAAACTATCATATCTCATTTATGGGAAGGGGCACGCACTTACGCGAAAAAATTATTTGATACGACTTATGCTGACAAGGGAGAACACATGACTAACAATGTTTATTACCAATCATTCCTCAATGCGCTAGATAAGCAAGAAGAATCCATCTACTTAAAACTTTCATCATTGCTTAAAGAGATTTCTGAGATCGATATAGAGTATAGAGACAGTATGTATAAATTAGTTACTAAGAAGCGAGCAATGTTCTTACAACAATATTTAACATCATATTATTTGGATGAGTGTAAGCTACTAGCAGATTTCCAAAACACATAGTACAAAGTGATTGGCCTAGAAAACACACGTTACCGAATGTTATCGAAATTACAGGATAGTAAAAAAGATGATTCGTCCGAAGCCGATATAGACGATATCATTGAATTATATGGATAATTACCCTTAGCGGGTTGTGGCAATTTCAGCTAAGAAAACTTAGTCTCAAAGAGACAGTAATATTATTTATGACCGCATATTTTTTCTCGTGCAATAATACCAGCTAACTTCAATTCTTATCTTTAAACTTCTGGCCTAGGATGATCACTCCAAACTTCCAGCCTCCGATCATACAGCCCGACTTCGGAAATGTCTGAAGATGATAAAAAATAGTTCCAGTTAGGAGAATACTCGATATTACTTTTTTTCCACGAATTCCATATTTTTTTCCCAATGATCCATATAATTATAAGGAGAAATAAAGCAAGTATAGCATATGACATTAAGGAACTTTCAATGGCAGGAACAGCTGGTACTTGAGGTATTTCTTGGGACAATGATACCGCTTCTGCGCCACCCACAGAAATTGTCTAGAATGTAGGAGAATTAAGAGCGGAAGGTTGTGATGGATTATTCATAGACGGAAGTGGAGTATCTACTTCATTATGCGAAACGTCTCTCAGTTCTTTTTTTGAGATCGTCTCTCGAAGACGAGAATTTTCCTCTATTAAATTTGATTGTACTGAATACAAGAAGTCTAACGCCTGTTTGTACATGCTATTTGATGATTCTATCCCTTTTTCCATATATTCTATTTCATAATTTTTTGAATTTAGATCCTCCTTTACCCGTTCTAATTCAAGCCTAAGAGAATCAATTTCAGATGAATCTATTTGAACCGGCTCCTCTAGTAGTCCTCCCACTTTATGCGAATCACGTTCTAGTTCCAGATCTAGCAATTTACCTTCCAATTCAACTACCTTAGCTTCAAGAAAAAGGATCTTAACCTCATCAGCAGACGAAGCTTTCTGCGCTAAAGTCGCCTCTCTCTTTAGTGTTTTAATATTTGATTTGAGAGATTTGATTTCAGTAGTATATTTGGCTTCAAGCTTAGTACAGGAAATCCGTTCATAAGTAATTTGGGATGTAAGCTTACTATTTGCACTATTTAGCTGACCTTATTTCCGATATCAGCATGAAATCGCTGGAACTCCTTTTCTCGTTCTGAATACTCTGAATTTTCAGTCTGCAACTTTTTGTTGAAGTCAATAATTTCAAAGTTAAAATCAATAGCGGATCTTAATTTTTTTTCGAGCTCTTGCTCATATGTACTACCTAGCCAATGTCCTCTATCTTTTATATCTTTTAGCGTACGTACATTGGACATAATATTGGCATGGTTACATAGCAGAAAAAAAAAATATACAAATAAAATTCCGAGATAATACATTCATCCTGTATATTCAGAATAATATATTCTTCCTATACATCCTGTATATCTTATATATCCCATTTATCCGGAATATATTTTTCCTATACATCCTATACATCCTATATATCCTATTTATCTGAAATATATTCTTCCTGTATATCCTGTATATCCTATATATTCGGAATAATACATTTTTTCTGTATATTTTATTTAATAAATTATTTCAGAATATTATATTAGATATAAAAAAATATTACTACCATGCTTAGGCAACGTATGAGATGTGATGCCTCTTCTTTTTCACCAACTGATTACAATTTTATTATGCAATGTGCTGAAAAAAAGCCTAGA